TTCTTTGGATTACCACCCACTGGTGCGAAAACGGTATTGTTGAAAGTTTTTCAACAAGTCTACTCTCAAGTAGTGGATTTGTGTTTTTTTTAATAGTTATTTTCTCTGTAGTTATAATTGATAAACAATGAGATTTTTTTACTGAACAGTCTTTAGGCAGTGCAGAAAGCCTACAAAATCCAAGCAATTCATATGGCTACGAAGACGATCAGACAAGTAAGATAATGCTTATTGTAATACTCGTCTAAATTTTCAGCTGAGTATAAACATCTGGTAGACATTAAGGCGTTCAGATTTGGCGTTCAATCGTACTCAAATGACAGTTTTTTTTGGCACAAAATATTTATGTTCTTTTATTCTGATGGCAAAGAATAATGAGACTTGTTTATAAAGTTGGGAGAAAAGATTTATTGCTTACGTTAGTGGTAAAAAGTTCTTCTGGTTGAAAAAAAAGTTTGTCGTTTTACGGGATTGTAAACAATTGTTGTCTGTTTTTAATTTATTTTAAAAGCATAGATTTATGGATTTACCGTTGCTTGAAATGAAAATAAAAAGTAAGGCTGGAAATTGGGCAGAAACCACAATGGTTTTAATTATTTTTTCAGTTTTTCTTGATCACAAGATTTGTTTTTATGATCGCAATGCGTATATTTCTAAGGTCTTTCAACTGAAAAAAAATTCCTGTTTTAGTTTCTGCTGATTCCGTTAGTGATGATAAATCACGTTTATCAATGCACAAAAAAGCTCAGACCACTCCAAGTGCCCCGTTACATGATGCAGAGGATTCTGATTATGTGAGAGAAAGTGCATCTGGCGAGGATAATCTCTCTGAATCACAAGTTATTTTTCCAGTCATCATCTGTACTTCAGTAATAAAGTAGTACTTCAGTAATACCCATAGTCAACTTATTTTTTTATATTTGTTTTTGTAAACAGAATCAACATTAGCAATGCGGTTTAAAATAAATGATTCCTGATCGGCGACAAGTACTGCAGTTCAAGGAACATACTTCTTTTGCCAAAAATCTTTCGGTTTTTGTTTTAGTAATTATTTATTTTTAAGAATATCCCATTAATGCGTGTCGTACAGTCGAAGAAACAAACTAAGCGTCATAACACCAAAGTGCTGAAAGAGGGATGGATGGTGCACTATACAAATCTACAAACTATGGTACTGCTGTTAATTTTATTAAATTTTTCTGTTTGCTTTATATAAGATAACAGTGATTATTGGCAAAAAAATAGATAAAAGCATTTATTTTAATAAACGAGCAGTCAACATTTTCTGTGAGGGTACTTTGTACATTCTAAAATTGTATGGCTGATAAAGATACGTTAGTTTTTCAACCAAAATTATCGGTTAGTATTTGAGACAGGAAGCGAATAATACAAATATATATGAGTTACAGAGGAAGAAACACTACTGGCGTCTCGACACGAAGTCGATTGTGATGTATCACGATGAAACATCTACCAGATACTTTAAGGTTTTAGTACCAGTTTAAATTCCAAATTTCAATTTTAAAAATTCAAAAAGTGTAGCATTTAATGAGAGTGTCTGCCAGAATTTCGCGAGAAAGGTTAAGAGGTGTACAAAAGGGGGAAAAAGCCACTGGATAGCGATTAAAACAGTATTTTGTTTTTTTTTTTTTTTGTCTTTTTAATGACCAAATCAGATGTTTAGGAGATACCATTGAAAGAAGTATTGGAAGTAAGATCATATGAGAAGGATTTCTTGGAAAAGAAACGTTCCTACTGTTTAGAATTGAAAACGCAAGCATGTGTGTATAAAGTTGGTAAGTTTCTTAAAAATCGACTTTTTTTTTCAAGCAGTTCCATCTCTATGAAACTTTTGTGGTTTTTTCTTTATATACTTTACTGCAGAGATAGATGTTTGGTAATTTATTCTATTTTATTTTTTTTTGAATTTATTATCTTTTGCTCTTGAAACTCTTGAATAATTTTAATGGTAAATGTTTTTTTTTACTCTAACATATTGTTGTTGTGTACTGTTCTAAAGCATTGCCTAGAATTTCTTTGACTTTTTTTTCCCTTTTTTTTTTGCTTATTTTTCTTGTCAATTCAATTAAGGTAAAGCTATTTTGAGTGCGGAAAACAAGAACACTAAAATGCGGATGTATTTTTATGTTGTCTTTAGTTTGGCTGCTTTTATAAATCTGGTTTCTATCGGGGTTTTTTTTTATTAAGTAAAGTAAGAGAAAAAATAAGTTTTTTTTTTTTGCTTTTTTCTTTGTTATTGCTGTTGTAGTTGTATTAATCGGTCTTATTCCGGGAAGACAAGGAAGACAAGTTTGAGAAGTAAGACTAATTTTAGTTGTAAATAAGGAAAAAGAGGTGAAGAAAGATTTTGTTTTCTTGGTGGTGATGGTTATGGTGTTATTTCATTCTTTTTATGGTTTCTATTAAATGACTATCTCTACTAAAAATCCAGTGACATTTAGAAGGGATTTTATTAGGTAGTAAGTAATGTGTTTCATTAATCAAAAATTCTTTTAAATCAGTTGTATTGAATCAAGGTTAAAATTATAGCACATTTATTGAATATTTCATTTCTTCTTCAAAAGGAAAAAGTGAAGAGAGGAAAATTTCCATCATCTTTTTTTTTTTTTTTAAAAAACAAACTAATGAATTGTTCTTAAAAATAATATTTGATTACTGCAATATATTTAGTATTAAGGGGGAAAACAAGAAATGGTTATTTGTTGCTTTTAATAATTGTATCGTGTTAGTGGTGATGTTTCTTTTTTAACATGCTCATCGAAACTGGATTATTTTTAGTTGGCATTTTTAAGCTGTTTTAAACTTGAATGATTTCAGACGTCATAACAACCTTTAAAAGTTTGTTTATGGAAGACTCTTCAAAGACTGATTACATGCAACTAATTTGTTGTTCTAAGTTTAGCCTAAAGCGTCGTTTAGATTAGTGTCGTTAGGATCTGTTTCACCTGTTATTAGCACACCTGTTAGTGGTGATACAAATCTTTTATGATTTTTGTTCCAATTTTTTTTTTAATTTTTGACTGAAAATACAGAATACGGAAAAGGATTGCAAAAACGTAGTATTTATTTAATTGTTTTTTTACTTTATCTTAGTTTTTTTTTTTTTT